ACTTTAGTTTCAGCCTTTAAGAATAAAATAAAAATAAAATAAACCTTTATATTTAAAATTTGTTGCTTCTTTCTTGAAACAAAATGTTAAATTTAAAACTTTTAATAACAAAGAAAYTTAACTTCCTACAGACAGCAGCTTCCTGATTGGCTCAGGACTCAAACCTGGTTTGGTTCTGTCTGGGGTCTGGGTCAGACTCTGTGTTCAGGTTCCAGTTTTCAGAGCTCAGGTTTTTCCAGGACACTGGTCTTGACCCGGTCTGAGCCGGCTGACGCCTCCAGAACCAGAATCAGGTTCTGCTTTGAGGTTTTGGTTCTCAGACCGGACTGAAGGAGGTGGTGGTTTGTTGAAAAGCTTTGTAAATCTGATCAAATTCAAATTATTCTTCACGGGATATTTTCTGCATTTTGAAAAAGATGTAAAGGTGAATTTATCTGATTGTTTCAGCCTGTCATATAAAAGTTGTTAAATTTAAGTTTTCAGTTATATTTTTAAAGCATTTGAAACATTATTCTAGTAAATCCTTCATGAGGACAGAGAGGAGAAACTGAACTTTTCAACAAATCAGCCACCGATCAACAAACTGAAGGACAAGAAGACAAAACAAAGAGTTTGGATCTGTGTAAAAAATCTCATTGTGCACTTGAAGTAGTTTTTGGTGTTCCAGCAAAAGCAAAAGAAACATCCCTTTCTCAGCACACCTTTGGCCAGGTGCAGTAAAGTGTCAGCAAAATGTAAACAAAAAAGTGCAAAAAATGCAAAGAAAGAAGAAAAAAGATGACGTTATTTTTAGTTGACGGCACCAACTCCCCTCAGCTTTATTACCTTGTGCCACTCAAAGTCAGGAGGAACTGCTTAGTTTTTCATCTTACTCTAGAAAATATAAAAACTGTAATAAGTGTAGCAATATTAAAAGACTTGTAACATCAACAATTTTACACTTTTACTACCAAAATGGTTTTAAATAGCGTTGCCCTTCTCTCTGTCTCAGAAAGGTGTCGAGAAACTTGACCAGGAAAACCGTCGCCCTTAAAGCCAAGAAAACAGAGATTAATAATCTGAGGGGAGGAACAGACCCCCCAGACCAGTACTTAACGATGATACAGTTCCTCAGACCAGGTCTAAGATCAGCTGGTTGGATCAAACCAACTGAAGTTCCTCCTCATGTTTTGTTGTTCCAACAAAAGGCAGGTTCCCTCCTCTGTGTTTTACTTTATGTTTCTTTAAAACCCATCAGCAGTTCTCCTCTGAGTCCACCAGTCTCCATGGGGAAAGAAAACAACATTAAAGATCTAAATATTCTTCTTTTTCTGTCCTTCATTCATCTTCTCCTGTAGATTTTTGCTCAGAGCTTCTTTCTGTCTGTCAGCTGTGATACATTCAGTAAACAGAACAAAAAGACTTCCTTTACTCCAAACCAGCTTGGATCTGATTGTGTTTGGTTCCTGTTATGGTTCTGTTTCCATCTTTGTGTTGGGTTGGACCATTGGTGGAGACTCTCTGTTGGGTTGGACCATTGGTGGAGACTCTCTGTTGGGTTGGACCATTGGTGGAGACTCTCTGTTGNTGGACCATTGGTGGAGACTCTCTGTTGGGTTGGACCATTGGTGGAGACTCTCTGTTGGGTTGGACCATTGGTGGAGACTCTCTGTTGGGTTGGACAGCAGGTGGTGATTGTTGTCTCACGTCCCCACCTGCCGTCTCAACCGTTTCTGTCTTCACAGCGAGTGGGTTGAAGTTTTCCGATGTGACTCGGGTCACGCTGTCGTAGGATGGTGGAGATGAGGTGGAGGAAACGGTCCCGGAGCGCTCCCTGCCCAACAAACTGGAGCCGTAGTTTTCCTTCATCATGGTGGCGATCAGTCCRTCCTTCTCAGGTGCGTCGTCTCCAAATATGGCCTCATCGACGTCCTGGCCTTCGCCGGCTGCGTGTCGAGGRGTGGCGATCTGCCGGTACATGTAGGAGGCGGCCTTCACCTGCCGCCTCACCAGGTGTCTGCGGTAGCACCTCTGGATGATGGTGGCAGAGACCTCTTCCTGTTTGCGCCTCAGAGTTGTGGTGATGGGCTCGTAGGAGATCTTGGATGGGTTGGAGATCATGAACTTCTCCTCCATCTGCTGCTTGAGGGCGTCCATCTCCCCCGACTCGCCCAGAACACGCTTGGTGAAGGCGAAGAGGATGTCCAGGCAGTGGATTTTGTCTCCACTGACCATGGGAAGGTCCATGGAGATCAGTTTGATCTTGTTGGGTTTGGCGATGCGCAGCGGCTCCAGTAGTGAGTCTGCAAAGTCCGACAGTTTGGAGTACTCGATGAACTGCGTGGCTTCTGGGTCAAACTTCTCCCAAACCTCGTAGAACATCTCGAAGTCYTCCTCGCTCAGCGGCTCTGTGCTCTCCTCCGTGGCCACGCTGAAGTTCTCCAGAATGATAGCGATGTACATGTTGACCACGATGAGGAAGGAGATGATGATGTAGGTGACGAAGAAGGTGATGCCCACCGAGGGGTTCCCACAGTTCCCTCTGACGGTGGTGCCGGTGTGGGGGAGGTTGGCATCGCACTCCTCGGGGGAGTTGTTGAGGATGGGGCTGAGCAGACTGTCCCACCCTGCAGAGGTGGTGATCTGGAACAGGCAGATCATGCTGTTCCCGAACGTCTCGAAGTTAAACATGTCGTCGATCCCCGCCTGCCGCTTCACGTAGGCAAAGTTAGCCATGCCAAAGATGGCGTAGATGAACATGACCAGGAAGAGGAGGAGTCCGATGTTGAAGAGGGCAGGAAGTGACATCATGAGGGCAAACAGTAACGTCCGGATGCCCTTCGCACCTCTGATGAGGCGCAGGATCCGTCCGATTCTGGCCAATCGGATCACTCGGAACAGGGTGGGCGACACAAAGTACTTCTCAATGATATCAGCCAGAACGATCCCTGAGGGAAAGAGGAGGAAACGACATGAACATCATGATAAAAATCATAAAGACATTTATAAAAACATGAATGTWCTCTAATAAAACACTGGAATGTATCTGAACCTGTGGTTTTTGTTCAGAACAATTCAGAATCTATTTCCTGCTCAAATGATTTTATTTCTTCCAACACCTCCAAACTTAGTTTTATTAGTTACTATTAGCAATAAATTACTATTTAATTCATCTCAAGGCCTCTTCACTTGGTGTTTGAAGACTCAAAGTGGACCCTAACCCAAACATGACATTAATCATTGAACAGATCTGAACCAGCATTAAATGATTGACAGGATGAGAAAGMTTTTTTCTGTGAGCTGGGTCGTCTAATAGCTCTCAGTTTGGATATTTCAGTCATTCTGCGTCGGTCCAGTTCTTATTACAACATGAATGATTGGTTCTGGAGGGCTGAGCCGCCTCCTTCCAACAGGAAGTCAAAGCCTGTAGTTCATCCYTCTTTTCCTTGTTATCCTGGAGCGATGGAAACGAGCCGACCTGTCATCACAAACATACACTGTTCTGTCGTTCATCTCCCAGTGTGGAGGTAGAGGTGATGAGCAGGGGGGAGTCAGGAGGGAATCACCCCCTCCTCGTCCCCCCCCCCCCCATCCTGTCTAACACACAGCAGATGATGTAACAAGTCAATCATGTTGGGTTCATCTCCGGAGGACGCCCTCTGGCAGCTCTGATTGCTGCTGTTACCTTCACCTCCCCCAGGCTGCCTCCTCACAACACACATGCTTGTCCTTCTATCCTTGTGGGGACTTTCCATTGACTTTCATTTATTTACTGGTCACTTCTTTAGCCTAACCCTAAACCTAACCTCACAGGTACACACCTGAATCTAAACCTAACCTCAATTCACACCTTAGTCCTAACTCACTAGGAATAGACCAGTAATGGTTAGTTTTAGGGAAAATATCTGGSTTAGATATAAATACAGTTACACAAATGAATGGAAGTCAATACAATGTCCTCAGTCTGATGTGAGTACAAGAATGTGTGTGTGTGTGTGTGTGTGTGTGTGTGTGTGTGTGTG